CGCACCCGCGGCCCTTCCCGAGGTGGGGGCGTCTTCTGGCGGGGCCGGGGGCCGTGCAGGAGCCCCTGGGAGACAGAAGCTGTTGGTTCGTCCCTTCCAGCCCCGTTAGTTCGTGTTTTAAGCAGGTGGAGAAACTGTAACTTCAGAAAAAAGCGCAAGTCCCTGTGCCATAGCAAAATCCCGAGTAAACCTTGTCTGAAGTATCTTGATGTCTCGCTGACAGGCTGCAGAAATCCATTAAGTCTTTGATCCTTTATTTTTCGTCTAACAGGAAAACAAAAGCCCTAAACAATGTTTGAGGGAAGGACACTGTAGGAGTTTGCAAGTGACATTTTTTGCATGCAAAAGATCAATGGTAAGTGTTTGTAGTGCATTTTCTTCTGCCAGCGAGCGGCCTGGTTGCTTTCTGTCCTTTTCACTGCTTTCTGAAGAAAACCACTTAAACCACTTTAATTCAGTAAAACTGGTGTCATTAAAGAGAACAGGTCTTGCCTTTGAATTCCATTTAAAAGATGGATGTTGTATGCTATTCTCCTGAAGAAAAAGTTGTAGAGATGGGGAAAAAAAAGCACGTTTAAATTGAATTCGGCCTAGCAAGTGATGTGTCAGTGAGGTAGGTGCTTTTACTATTATTTTTTTTTAGTAAAGCTTTGATTTAAACCATATTAGTGGATTGGGTAGTTGTAAGATAAGATATTGATGAGCTAATTTTTGTCTATGAATGAAGAACATTTAAGTGACAGGAATGTCCTATTGAAAGATTTCCACTGCTGAAGTGGCTCTTGCATTTGTTAATTTTTGTGGAGGGTGGGAATTCATGGTAAAAAACAATTTGGGGTTTTTATGTAGGGAGATATCAAGTATAGTAGCGAGAAGCCAGTTGTAAAAATGTAATTAGATAAAGTTTCGCCAATTTTGATAGGAGTTACTTGTCTAAAAACATCTTGATTTTTGTTTCCATAACACGTAAAAAACCAGTTAAGGTGTAGCAAAGATGGTATTAAAGCTTTCTAAGCATGAGTAGTGCCGGCCTCATTTTTATTTTTAGCTGATGTGATACATAATGAAGAATGTGCAGCTGAAACTGCACCTGAATTTTTTCTTCTCTTCTGTATTATTGTGTAAGTCTTTTTGTACCTGTTCTACATGAACTGCATTCATCCATAAAGTGACAAATGATTATTTTTGTGGTCAGGAAAAAGCGCTGTGTATTTAATGCTTGAAATACCTATTGGATGCAGCAGTATCTCCAAATGATGGGCCTGTGTTTCTGTCTCTAGATCGTTAGGGGAGCCTGATGAAACTTAGTTTCATGCGGGAAGAGGCCCGGCTCTGATATGATTCTGTTTAACTGCTCCAAATTCTAAGGTTGAAGAACAGCATTTTTCTTGTCCTGTTAACTCTGTACATTTCAATAATTGTGCTCTGCCAAATTTCTTACCTGGTGTAATAGTGAGGCTTAAAGAGTATTTAAAACATGTTAGACAGTAAACACAGGTATAATTTGCAGTATGCTGAAATCATTAGGGATTTTTCCTAGATGCTGTTTTCTTTAGAAGGAAATATAATCTCTTATCAGAGGAGTAAACTTTAGTACACTTTAGACAGTAAAGTAGGAACAGTGTTTAACATGGAAGCTGCTCGGTTATTGCGCAAGCTGTGCCATCTTGCAGTTTAGCTCTTTACAAATTTTGCTGCAGTTCTGAATCCTGAAAGAGGGTTAGTTAAGGGAGGTAAAAGATACGTCCTCAATCTACTATCCAAATATGGCTGAACTGCAATCTGTAACTGCCATCTTCAAGACTGACTATCTAAATTCAGAAGAATTCTCCCAAGATCAAAGCATGTTTCTCTGCTGCACTGGGAAAGAACTTGCAGTTTAGTTTCAGTAAGTCCTGCTCCACAGCTGTTATTATAGCTTTACTGCCTTTTTTTTTGCTTTCCATTAAATGCTTTTTTGTAACTGCCAAGAAGAAACAAGCTAAATATTATTTCAGTTTTTACTGATACATTTTTTGGACACTTGTTGTGTTTAATGTATCCCTATCCTCACTGACATTTGCAGAGACTCCCACTTCAACCCAATCTGGATTTTCCTCCTTCAGCTTCTCAGTTAAGTTTGGAAAAACAGATCTAAGTAGATTTACACTACCTTGTTTTTATGTGTTCCTTGCCATCCCGCTGTGCTGTTCCGTCGTTTGTGTTGTTACACTGTTTATTTCAGAATGCACAGGATGCTTACCACATAATTTTAGTTTTGTGTGAGATGTAAGATAAAAAAATGTTTGTTTCCTTGGAAGAACCCTATGACTTGTTGGTTACATCATTGATTTTCTTTACAGTGACTTCTGCTTTGTTCCGTGCTTTCTTCTGGTGTTGCAAAGTGCTGAGATAGTACAAGCACTCTAAAGTACTTCTTTTGCAAAATGTAAGGTTTTAATATTTTTACTTCAATTTTCAGTTGGATACCAGGGCAAGATTCAGAGGAAGGAAGGGATACTGAAGTCTTCCAGAAGAGACCCAGCCATGGGAGATCAGGGTTCATCAGCACTTTAAACAAAAGAGAGACTACAGTAAGAAGATCCTATCTGCTGCATCCTTTCATGCAGTGTTTTCGTGGAAGGTATCTACTCCTGAGCATTCTGATAGATTGTCCTGGGCGTGTATTTAAATGTTAAAAAGAAGCCAAGCATAAATCTGCAAGTTCTGGCCAAAATGAGTACTTGTCACGCACTTGTAATAAAATATGTAAAATCCAGAATAAGCTGCAGTAGTTATTGTGTTTTGAAGAGAAGTTGTCTTTTGTGGTTTTACTAATTCTGATCATGTTTTACTATCACAAATAATGCAAGATATGGAACTGGGAGTCCACTTGACTAGTATCCTAGAGGATACCTCAGGATAGAGCTGTTTCCAGAGATGTCTACTTGACCAAGGTTGTGAAATGTAGGTGCAAGCTGCTTCCTCCCCAGTAGGTTTGTTACCCAATAAACCTGCACTAATAGGTAGGAGTGGCAATGTTTTTGCGGTCCCACATATACAAGGATGGCATCTCTTTCTTCTCGCTACAAATCCCTTTTAAAATGGTGATTGATGTACGTGTTTATTAGCACAGTGTAGTCTCATTGGACAACTAGATGAACATTTGGTTGCTCTAAATTAAAGGATAGCTGATTTACCTTTCGGTAATTTGTCTTCTCCTTGTACTGGCACAAGTACAAGAGAACTAGCCATTATTCTAGTCAATGACTTGAATGCCAGGATGTAGCTAATTATGTATCTTCGGATGGGTGAGGAAGGTATTCCTCAGGCCAACAGTTAAGGAGACGGTGGCTGCTATTACTGTGTTCTAGAGGTATTTACAACAATATTTAATTTCCTTTGAGATGACCCTGAGTGATCTTTCTGCATTATTTTCAAAGGAAGTATATAAATACTAACCCAAATGTATGTGCAAACTAGGGATGGTGATCTGGACTTTATTGTGTTTATAGGAAGTTGTGTTCCACAAATTTACTTTGTACTTGGTGAGCATTTTTCTTCTTTTTACTTTGTCACTTCTCTCTGAATCGTTTGGTTCACATTTATGGGTGTAAAATGTTCAAATTACCGTTCATATTCATTTAAATTATAACTAATTTCTGCTATGTGCTTCTTAAAACTTGCTCTTCCTTTAGAATTTTTTTTGTATGTAGTAAAATTTTACATAGTTTTGTAAGCTATAAAAAGCTGCAGTGAAAAAGCAAAGAAATGAATAGAGGAAAAGACTGGTTTGCTTTCCTTTGATCAAGGATGACTGTGGCAGATCTGTCTGCAGTGTGACAGTGTTAACATGCATCAGCTAGTCTCTCTTGCCCCACCCCTGGATTTATGGAGGTAAAAAGCTTAACCGTGACTGTGGTCAATACTTACTGGTTCTGTTTAAGAACTTGTTTCTGAAGAATATTTCTTTTTCCTTCCTTCAGTGTCTCTACCTCCTTCCATGCCTTTTGAAGCCTTTAAGAAATAAGTGGTAGTGTAACTCTTACATATGGAAACTGAAATAACTTCAGACAAGCTGATTGGGGAACAAGATTAGGAAATAGTGAGAGGGGAGAGAGTCATAGTAACTTATTTTCTTGGCTAAAGCTTATACATTTACATTTAGTCTGAACAGATGCATGCAACACTTACTGTTTGTAAAATCAATGACTCCAATGGATGAGCACATGTTGACTGTTGTCTTAAAGAACTCTCTGTGATCAGTCAAAGTACGTTTATATTCCTTGTACGTTTTTATGCCGTGTATGTGTAGGATTTTATTTTTGCAATCATAAATCAACGCCGATTTCGCAATTTCACATTCTGTTGATCATGTGAAAGCTAGTTCGTTTGTTGAAGTGCTGTAAACATCCTTTGTTTTCCACAAGCTAGTTGCCATATTGTCTCTTTATGTACACTGAAATGATAAATTGATGTGATGTCTGTAAGAGTATTCTTAATTTAGCACTCTGACTTCAAAGTATTACTCACAAGCCTTCTCCGTGGGGGGAAAAAAATTAACAAAAAGGGAGTAAAAATAAATTTAAAGCTACTTGGCTGGTAATTAACTGTCAGTTAGAGAGAAGAGTGGGAATATTTGGTTTTGGTAGTCAAGGACTCTTCCATGGTTTGCCCTGCCACAGGTGACGATAGGCTTGGTGCTTCAGGTGACTTGCCCTTTCTCAGCCATAATCACTGAGCCTCACCTAATGGTGCTGCAGAAACTCCTTTTGGAAGGGAGCAGGCAGGTAACGGATCATGGACTGATAACTAGTTAGAGTTATTTTTAGAAAGTGGCTTGATCCAGTGGAGATCAAGTGTTAAAATTAAATGCAGTGTTTGCTATTGGATGATTAAGGATTTAATAGTTCACTTAACAGAATACTGGTTTGATCTGATAGAATCTCTTAGTGTCAAAACTTCCTAGTGGTTCACTGGGCTATGTGGGACAGTATAAAAATGCATAGAATATGTACCTAAATACTGGCTTGCTCAAGAGACTATTAATCGTTCAATTCCAGTATTGTGTAACACAATACTCTGTCTAAAAATGACTAATTACATAATTGCCTCGGGACTTTGAGCACTGTCCTACTTGATAGCTATTAATGTTTCTTGTGTGAAAATAATTTGTTCCCTTAATGGAAAGCCCCAAGTACTATAAATTTGCGTATAAGATTCCAGGTTTTTTCCTAATACACAAAATGTTTTTATTTTGATATCTTGATGTTTTTAATTCTCCTGCCTTGTGCTGCACCACTGGATTTTTTTAAAGAATACACATTTCTAATCTATGGTAGATTTTGCAAAGTTGCATATGTCATGTATTTGAATCTGTGAAATTGGAGCACAAAAGGTTGAAATGGCGCCAAAAGGCTGTTACTGGTTTTAGAATTACAAATCTATGCAGTGCTAATAATTTGTATCGAGTAAGTGCAGGATGCAGTTTGCAAAAACCTTTCACTGCTGCTCTGATTTCTCCCATTTTGTTTTACGTGGTGGCAGAGTCAAGGGGCACTGAATGCTGTCGAAATTCACGTCGCAGACTGTGACTCCGTCAGTGTTAGGACCTGTCTGTGTTACTACATCTAGTTCCACCAGTTGACATGTCCTCTCTGTGGTCCAATCCTGCAAACACCTTTGTATTTGTATAGCTGTAAACACATACTGCAGATCTACTCCCATGTTTTATTATGATAAAAAAATAGGCCATAGCCATTTAGTCTGGTTTAAAAATTCTTCAGGTCATTAACTCTTGTTCTTTCAAGTTAATATGAAGTGATAAGCATATTGTTTAAGCAGGACCTGTTTAATGAGGCCCTTGTGTACATACACTGAAAAGTGAGAGAAGGGTTGGCGTTTAACTAGTATGCATGCATTTATTGTTTAAGCTATGCCTCTTGAAAGAAAAAACATCTTTAAAAAAAATTACTTTTGAAAGCTTCTCTTCTTCCAGAATATGTGCATTTGTATTACAAAGGGCTTTTGTTATTCACTGGTTGGCATAAGAAGTTGGTTGTGTATTCTCTCTTTTAAGTTTCAGGGGCGGAGCGGGTTGGATGATACACTTTTTCTCAAAGCAAACTTTTCAAATAATATTATTATTTCAGTGGAAGCCCGGAACAAACTAGACTGACACCTTCTGCTCGTAAGAAGAGCACTAAGTGAAATCATCTTCTAAAAACGCAGCCATAGAATGTAGGTGGTAAGCAGTATCTGTTGTTTAAGCCTTTGGTTGGAAAACTTAGAAATACAGAGCTGTAGCAGCTTTGTTGACGTGCTGAATTTCTCAAGTACTTATGCTGCCTTAGCGCTTGGTATGCGGTTATTTAGAATATGTGTATTTATTCTAAATACGTATCTCATTGTCTAAAGCTGAAGAGCATGACAGTTTAGTTTCCATCATAAACTGTAGCTGACGGAATACTAACCAGAAACACGGAATAGTAACCAGAAACCTTAAGGTCCTTTCTCCTTTTTCCAAATGTACATGCTAAATTGTTTGTCTCTGGCATGGTTTTGCTGCAGATATCTTAGGAAAATTATTAACCAGTGGTTTCCTTAAGTGGTAGACTCCATGGTGACTTGGTTGACTCCCTGTAGGAAGAAAACTCGGTAAACATAGGGAGCAGCTTCTTGAAGTGGACTATGCTTTATTTTCAGGATTTACAGTAGGTTGATTAATAATGTCCTTAAACACTGAAAGAAGAAGCAGCACCAAGATCAGCATTTTAATAGCTGCTTAGTGATGTCAGTAGCAGGTGATATATTTCAAATAATGTATTTTAGTAGATAAACATTGAAATTATTTTTTATATCAAGCTGGGATTCGTTTGTCCTGATGAAAGCTTTCATGTGCCAAATTCTTTCTTTGCATGTAGGTACTAATGGGCTGCAGTGAAATGGAAGGGAATAATTTCTTAGACTTTTAGTAACAGAGGAAATGATAGAAACAAATCTCTGTGACTTAGAACAAGATACCCAAAAGTTTCTGCAGTACTGCTACTGTTACTTTAAAAGGAGCTAGGGAAGAACCAGTGAATGTAGAAATGGGTTTGTAATTCGTAAGTTCCAGTGATAAACTCTGCTACTGTGAAATTGTATGGTGTTGTCCTCATTGTCATGAAGGATGAAGAATATAGAATTTTTCTGTCAATTTATGGCAGGACTTTGTAAGGCTTTTTCAGTGGGGGAATTTTTGAAATCCTTCTGGTACATGGGTCACAGAGGTCTAATATTTTTTAGATGCTGCTTGTCTCAGGCTTTTGGTTCCATGTCAGCTGTACCTCTCTAATGGCTACAGCAGGATGGTTTCTCGAAATCTGGGTGAGAGGAAATGTGTTACAGGTTATTGGATTGCTAGCGTGCTGAGGAAGATGAGGGTAAATAGAAACTGATGGTCAGTTGTCTAAAATTTTGCATTGCTCAGTATAAAGACAAGAGACCGTATAAGGCCCTTTAGCAGCTCAGACTGGACATCTAG